GGGGGGGGGCTAGTCAGGGGACAACCACACTGATGAGTGCCGCTTCTGAGCACTTTATTGTGGGATGTATGGCATTTTACACTTTCAGTTGAACAAGTTACATTTGGAGGTCAGGGCCCGCTGAGCTCTTTCAAAGGCCGGGTTAGAAGCCCAGTGGCTTTAGTACAATAGGCCTGCTCATTTCTGAGGAGGCTGTTATCAAAGATGGTGTATACCTACGGGGGGAGGAAATGACCCTGAAGGATGAGCAACATCAAACACACTTTAATTACTGCAATTTATATTGTCCCCTACACCTCTGGGCTATATACATGATGAAAATTCAATACACCAATAAAACATTACAGCTAAATTTCTCTTACAGTAAAGTAGTTGACATTACCATGTCAGTTGCAGAGAGCGGCATGAAAAATCAACTAGTCTTTTTTTTAAACCAAAATCTGATTCCGCCCCCATATGCATTATTAGAGCAGAAAACAGGAAGCACCAAAGGTCTACCCAAGGACAAGGTCTGGCCAGTATATTTCACCGCTTCTATTTATTGTTGTGAAACATTACATTTAGGTTTCTGAAGTCTTGTTATGATTTTTAATTGCTTTACAGTGATTTGTACTGGGAGGGATACTTGTAAGTCTAGAAAACAGCTTCTGGCACAGGTTAAGGCTTTTCTAGCTATAAATTATGTATCAGGTACTAATTAAAAATTTTTTTTTGGTTGCAAAGGGAATTACTGGATGCAAATTTGAGTCCACACAGACGTGGTTGGAGTGCAGATCATGAGGGAAAATTGAAGCCTACAGGAAGCTTCTCCAAGTATAAAGGAAAAATAAAGTGAAGATGGGGCCGTTGATTTGGGAAGAAAACGTGTCTGATTTGGAGAGAAGCAGCTGCCCCAGCTACAGATTCCTGGAGTTACTCTAACCCTCACTTATGACTCTGAGCTGTGGTTAGAAGGCAGAAGAGCAAGTGGTTCTGGCAGATAGATCTGCTAGATAGATCTCTGTCTTCTCAAATATTCCTGTACTATGTGGGAGAGGAAAAGAAAGGGAAGGGGGGGGAAGGTAGCTAACATGTAGGCTGAGCGTTAGTTAATAAATAAATAAAATAAATTCATTGCAGCATCACTTCTCCCTGGGAAATTCACAGTTAGCAACTACTGTGATTTTTGGAATGGTTGTGTGTCCCCCCAATTCCTATGTTGGAATCCTAGCCCCCAATGTCATGGTATTAGGAAGTGGGGCGGCTGGGAGGTGATTATGCCATGAGGGTGGAGCCTTCACAAACAGGATTAGTGCCCTTATAAAAAAGAGCCCCCGGAACTCCCTAGCTCCTTCTACCCTATGAGGATATAAGGAGAGACCAGCAGTCTGTAAGCTGGAAGAGTGTCTTCACCAGATCCCAACCATGCTAGATCCTGATCTCAACTTCCTGCCTCCAGATTGTAAGAAATACACTTCTGCTGTTTATAAGCCACCCAGTCTCTGGTATTTTATAGGAGCCCAAATAGACTGAGACAGCACCCCTGAGAAGTTATAACGATATACAACATCAAACCTCATTGGACTCGTGGAGAAGCCCTTGAAAGAGTTAAAAACTCCCAGAAAAGAGTTAGGATGAGTGGATTCATGGCGAGATTTTATGAAGCAATTAAAACAATTCTGGGGGATAAAACCATAGCTGAATTAAATATTCGCAGATAATGACTAAAGAGAAAATTATCAACCTCAGCTATAAAGTCTTATCTTTTTTTCTTTCCAGAAAAGATAAAATCATTTCAATTTCAAAGCATTCAGTATTGCTGGATCTGACTGTTTGGAGAAGAAAAAGCCAGCGAGAGAAGACAGGGAAACCTTTCCCAGCCGCCATCAAGTAATTCTGCTGGTGGCATGAAAGCCAAACACTACGGCGGTTAGGAGCATCACACCCACATTCACCTGGAAGCCCACATTCAGATTAAAAATCGGGATAAACTGGATGTCATCTGTGGCATAAATATGGACATTTATTGGTGTAAACGATTTGAGTCTAAAGAGAAGGAGGGCCTAATTATCAATGAGTCCTTAAGCTTTTTCTATTTGTACCGATGGGTGTACTATCTGTTTAGAGCAGTGGTTTCCCTAGAAATCACCACAATCCACTGTGTTGGTGGAGGCAACACACGAGACTGATGGAAATCCACTGAGTGTTATCAGTTCTTTTGCCCAGTGTATTTGCATCGGGTTCCTTTCGCCACAGTGGTTTATTTCCTGATAGGCCACTTTCCCATGTGACCTAGAGATGCTCCTTCCCTGGCACTGCGCCTGCAGAGCAGACCCTAGATGCGGCGGCAGCAGCCACCTGAGAGCTCAGCTGCCTGGCCGTGTGCTGGAGGGCTGTGCGCTTTACCCTGATAGCAGCAAATCCTTGGGAGCGAATGGTGCCACTCTTGGGGGTGACAGTGAATTCTCTTGGTTTCGTTGTGGGTATTTCGTTCTTGTTCCAGGTGGGCCTTTTGTTGTCTGAATATTGCTCACAACTTGAAATGCCTTCATTGCAAACGCCATCCCCGGGGATACGCAGGTGGAAGGTCATGGGGACCAGGGAGGTATTATTGAGGGAACATATCAAGGTATGAGGAAACCCTGGAAAACAAAATACGAGGTGAGACATAAAAACCTTACAATAGCCTCCTTTTAACTTCAACCTCCCTAGGACTGCCGAACCTCTTAAAAAAATCATCTGTGCAGCTCAGCACTACCTGCTTAATTCTAACTCTCCTCAATACTGTTTTCAATCGTAAATCAATACATTTCATTCATTTATTCACTCATTCATTCATTCGTTCATTCATTTACTATGCAGTGCAGCAACAACAGACATAAAATCATCATCCAGGTCCATCCCAAGAGGCAGCCTCTATTATCAGCTTGCTAAGTAGTCTTCTAGAGTATATTTTGCTTTTAGTTTTTGCATAGAAATACAGATTTTCCCCCAAATAGAATAATGTTTGCTCTTTTTATTTGCCTATGTGTGAAAGGAGAAGCCTGTGCAGTTATGCCCGCTGTGTGATTCTGAGCCTGCCAGGACATTATATAACCTACCCTGGACCTGTCTGAGGCTCACGCCCTCAGGGTCAATGACACAAAACTGAATAATAGCCTCTACTAAGAGAGACTTTGCGATCTGCTTCTGAGCCAGCCAGAGACTAAAACATTGGCTTTTACCTTCCTTAGACAAAGCTGCTTTTTCATGTGATAGTTAGCTCTCCCACATTCAGTTCAGTGAGATTCATGCTCCTTTCCAAAGAGCTGTGGGTGCTCCTTGCCTGGTAAGCAATAAACTGAGCTCTGATTTTGGATCCCCTGGGTGGCCACTGCATCTGGTAGGACTTTGATAACAAGAATTATCTACAACCAGAGGAGAACAAAAATGCATATTTCTACTCGGTGCAAGCACTATGCTTTCTACTTTGAACCCCACTGCAATGTTATACAACTGGTCTCGGAGTAATTACCGCAATACCACAGAGGGTATTTTGAACTGATCTACTTCTCTCCCCATGTCTGAGCCTTTGTCTTCACAATAGGTCAGTAGAGGAAACACGTTCATGTCTCCTTTGTGATACTGTGCCTGCCAATCTACTTGGAAGAAATCTTAAACGGAAAAAGAACTGTCTGATTAAGTACGCTTGAAGGATTATTCTTGGAAACTCCAAAGGACCCTAGACAGTTTCCCAATCACGTAATTGCTACATTTGACTCACCCTTATTTTATCTGACCATTTATGGGATAAACACTCTTCTAATGCAGGGTGTATATATTGTGGAAGTGGATCCTATAAAGACTCGTTGGATTTCTCCAAACCATTGCTAAGACTACTTCCTGAAGCTATTAGTTTTTTTGAGAATAAAGCCAATTATAGCCTCCTACCTAGAACAATTCCTTGTACTATTACCTGTAATACTGCTTGTCAAGAAGCCTAAAGGAAAGGGATACTGTTGAAGACTAGGTTTCTGGTAGCACCAAATCCCAATTCTTGTCTATCTATAGTTCCATCTGAATGCAAGAACTTTACAGTGCAGACCTCTAGTGTCCCTTTCTTAGCATCTATGAGGTGAGAAACAAAAGTATATAAAAACTAGCATATAAAAACTCAACATTCCTTGGAATAATTAACAACATGCTTGGTCAGAATGCCTCAAAGAGTCACAAAAGCACCTCACCTGACCTATGAAGCCCCAAAGAAGACTTAAAGAAACTAAGAGCAAAAGATCATAAGGCTGCAAAGGAAAAGTTTCAATTCTGACAAAAGATGGTACATTATTTAGAACATGATCATTCTGCTAAAGAATGAACCTAAGCTAAGGAGAATGTGAAATTGTTTCAGCAATACCCAGGACCAAAAATTAAATTACAATTCATAGGCTTTGGGGGACACATGAGGTATTTTAGACAATGGATTCCTAATTTTTCTAGCAAAATGAAAATCTCCACAAAGCAAAAGGAGATGTGTTGGCAGATCATCGTGCAGAATATGTGGCACTTTTGTAGTTTTCTGTAGAAATAAATCAGGAAATGGGAGATCAACAAACACATCTGCACAATCCATTCTGGACATAAAAAATTCAGCCTCAAACTTAGAAACACAGACATTTCCTAAAATCAGGATCCTCTGTCCACTTCAATGGTCTTTGGCACATCAACTGTGATGTGTCCCAAAGCCTGATCTGGTCTTTGACAAAAATCATAGAGTCCCATCACAGAAGAGATAAGATCATCTCTGAACAAGAGTTGATGGGAAAATTTCCCCTCTGTAGCTGGGTATCATATTTCAGAAAACCTGTGCAGTGAGACATGATTCTAAATCATACTTGAAAAAACCTTTCAAATAAAAATGGGCTGTGCCCAAATGATATATTTAAGAATATGTTCTTGTAATTGTCTGTAAATTCTTTCGATGGATTTGAGTTTCCCTATACAGAAAGGCCGCTGTCATAAATGTGACTAAGAAATTGTACATTATAACTTTCCTCCCAGGGGAATAGCACCCTTACACAGAAGAGTTATAAAGAATCTTACAGTGCATTAACCATTTGATCGAAAATTTTATAATCCACAATCCTTGGGAAATGTAGGGCATAAAAATAGTATTATCAGTCTTGAGTTGGCCACGCTCTCTGAGGCTCTTGGAGTTTTTTGATGAAGAGTTTTACCTTTAGTTCTAATGTCCATCAGATCAGGCTAACTTCCTCTGGAACTCATAGACTATTAACCTTAGGGAAAAAAAACCTAGAAAATTCATGTCACTACAAGTCTTTTATCAGTCTGAATCAGTATGACTTGCTTCATGCAGTCATAATTAAATATTGTCAAGAACCAACACATCTGTAAGTTCTAGAAGCCTTTCCCTAAAAACTCACCCTCAAGAGTTCTCTCTTCTTTCAACCTCAACAATGAATACTCTGAAAAAATACACCAATAGTCTTCTTTAAGGGCTTCACTGACCCTGTGGTTAACTATAAGGTGGGACTATGGGTAAAAAGGTGTCCAAAGAAACTGAATTATTGGCTGAAGACATGCAGAAAACACTCTTACTGGAGATCTTAAATGGAAGTTTGCTAATAAAACTTCCAGAAAGAGATGATCTATAGAAACAGATTGCCATTCCAAGATCCTCAGAACAAGTAGTCTTTACATGAAGCAGAAAGATTCTGCCCAAGACTGGTGGAACAAGATTTTGCTAGATGCCTGACATTACTGATTCTCATACTTTGCATACATTCTTCTTTGTCATCTGGCCATATTACTCTCTATTTACTATCTTAAAGTTATATAATTCTGATATCCCTTGTTTTGTCTCTCTTACTGATAACTTGCTTGGGTGTGTGGGTTTTGCTCGTTCCTACTATGACCTCTTCTACCAACCTTTCTAAGATCTTTTTATGATCATTACAGTTAAGCTTTACCCTTGATTCCCTACTCTACACCCTCCTAAAGTCAATTTAAATAATTGAGTAAAATACTGATAGTTCATACCTGGGCCATGGAAGAGACAACTATCATGCATTTTTAAAATGCTTATATTTATCTCCAAAACTCTGCCATCAAACCCTAACTTCTCAGTCCAAATTATCCAATTTGGCCTTCCAGACTCCTTATTCTCAAACCAACACATTCTTGTGCCTCCTGAAAAATAGTGACTTTACAGAGACTTACCCTGCCCCTTTTGGTCTGTCACCTGGCATATCAGTGGTTACGTGGTTCATTTTATTGTTTGACCAGTCTGAGGATTTATCAAAGCCTCAATGTTCCTTCAGGGACAACTGCCACTCAAATTCTACAATCTGACTCTCTCATGCTATTGTAGCTTCAGCCAGCCTAATTAATTATTAGATATGTCACCCAATATCTAATCCTATCATCGAAATCTTTATAGCCATACTACAAACATTTTAGATACCAACCTACTTTATGGTATTTATAATATCCTAACATCATCAATCACAACAGATCCTGAAGCCAAATCTAGATCTTTATCTCTAACATTAACCTCTTCAGGGTTAACAGACACCTCTTTAGGAATGGGCCTTACTGCCAATACGGGGACAATATTACCAACTTCTGTTAGCTTCATGTACTCCCAAGCCCTATGACAGTGTCTGTAAACCTTGCTTAACTCCACACAATATGTCTGTCATCCTGAAATAACTAATAAAATTCCTCCAATTCTGGGATTGCTTAATTTCTCTTTTGCATCTGGAACTATATGCACCCTACTGGTCTTTCATTCCTGAGCCAATGACATGCTTACTTTTACCTATTTCATCAAAGCCCTACTTGCACATGCAAGATAATAATTAAAAGTTGACAATAAATAACTGTCCAATGGGCCATGTCTCTTTGTGACAGGAGGTCAAACTACCTGGAAAAATAATGAGACTGTGTTGAACTCATGAGGACTCTGGTTTCAACTTTGGGATTTGAAAATATCATAAAATAATGTTGAAATGATATCACAAAATTGTCTCTAATTTTGGCTGTTTCAGTGCAAAATCTAGAACCACAGCAAAGTAGCTTGAATTAACTGACCCAAGTGGTTTTGAAAACCAAATAGCCCTAGGTTTCCTGTTGGCAAGCAAAAGAGGCATGTTTTTAGTAACATTTCCTGCCACACTAGAGAAGACTAAGGAATCTATATCCAAACTAAAAGAAAAGGCAACTTAGATTTTGAAGGTGGGCTTAGGAGGGATAAGTTTTCAAATCTCAGACTTGGGGAATCTTGGGTCATGGCTCTGTAGTGTGTTCCAGCCTCTTGTCTAGCTACTGTATCATCAAATGGTTCAATAAGATAGTATACAAGATAAGAAAAATCCACTGTTTCTAATGTTCACCTAAGCTAGTTATCAAAACTTCTAGCTGAACCAAGTCTGAGAAACAGCTGTTTGAGTATCATTAGTACAGCATTTATGTTAACATTGCAGAGCTGAGCAAGAGGGCAGATTCTGGACAATGAATTCGCTTGAGGTGCTGGCTTGTACTCTGTTTTCTCCCTCGAGGGCAATATGATACAGGGCACATCTCCCAAATGTCCTTGGGCTGGACTCTGTATTTAAATGCCTAGGCAAGGACATGCCGCCGTCATGCCTGGGTTGCCCAGGCCTCTCTGTGGACTCAGTCTGAGCTGTTTGGAGCATGACCGCATAGGTCTGGGTGTACTAATTCACTTCTTATTGCGCATCTGTCACAGTCACCCTTGAGAGAGCATGCCTTTCCTAGTTGGCCACCGGATGACTTTCAAGTTGTAGGTCACTTTTATTTTCCTTCAAAAGAGTCTATCACTCAAACATGCCCTATAAATTTAAAAAAAAAAAATCTCTCCAGCCCCTTTCATGTTCTATAGTAACAAACAGATATTCCACTTCATTTAGATAGGTTTTCCTATAGTATGTACCTTACCCAATATAATGTAGATGGGAGGAGCACTGTATAAATAAATATGTTCTGAATAAATAAAACCTTCATAACCCCAGATGTTAAAGCAACTGATAAAGGCATCTATTCAGCTTTTCCTAAAGAACTATTTTTCCCCAAATAGAAGCAAAAGAACTGAAAGTCAAAATGGGAGGAAATAAAGCAAAGTGGAAAGGATAGTAGAGTATGATTTAGATGAGGGTTTTTCAACCGTTTTAAAAATTATCACCTCCTAAAAAGAACCACAGTGATAAATTAATTTTAAATCAAATCAATTATATTTAGTTAATATGATTTAAATTCTATTTAATTTCTCCCTAATGAGAGAAATCGAACACTAAGGGATAAGATTCTGTTGAGGAAGGTTGAACTCTGGAGGACCACAAACTACTGTTACATTTTAGTTTTTTTTTCCAACCTCCAAGAACCAATTTTTGCCTCTTTGGGGGCGATACATCACTTGTGCTGACAGTAAATGATTTAAATACACCTCAATTGAAATGCTAATTCTGCCACTGCTGTGTGACTTTAGGAAGTTATTTAACTTTTCAGTGCTCAGTTCTCCCATCTCTAAAGTGGAGATCTTAAGTAGTACCTCCCCATAGGATTGCTAAAAGTTTAAATGTAGTACTGCATGTAATGCATTTAGCAGTAATTGGAATAAATAGAAAGAACCAATAATGGGATGTTTTGCTGCTATCGTTATCATTTTTATTACTGGGGAAGCTTAGACAGGAGAAAATGACTCAGAAATAACTGGTGAGGAGACAACACAAAAATACAGAAGAGTCTTCAGTGGGGAGTGGGAAGACGCCTGAATCCACTGAACCACCACTGAGTTCACTGCGAACTTGAGAGCATCTCTGTGAAAAGGCTGCTGTGTGGCCAAACGGGCAAATCAGAATCTGCGCAGAAACAGAACGTTCGCAATGTTCAGATAGAAGAATGAAGCCTGAGGCCTTCTGCGGCTCCCCTACTGGGAGAGGGCGGTCAGCCACGCCTGACAGCTGCTGGCGCCCGGACGCAGTGCCAGCTTTCACACCGAAACTAGGCAGTGGCACCAAGACGCCACTGCTGCAGAGCAATGGAGATACTCAGCTTTTACCCATAAAAAATGGTAAGATTCTTTGTCAGCCTTTCTTCTTCCACATAAAGAACGTAATTCTTCTCTGTTTCTAATTGAAAATGGAAAAATACTCACCAAAGGAAACATCACCGAAGTGCAGAGCAGGAACATTAAAGTGGAAGGTAGGTCCGATGACACAGCCTCTGGAAGCAGGAAGACAAGGAGGGGAGTGGGGAGAAAGTCCAGTGAATGCAGGGTAATAGTCAGCAACCGTGGAAAGGAGCAGTGCTGAAAACCCCAATTGGGCATTAAGTCAGTTATAGAATCTAGGATTAAAAAGCCTCAGAGATGATGGTCTATCACAGATGATGGTCTATCTCAGGCAAGAAAGGAAAATTATAGGTCTACTCATACGAGGCACATCCAGCTGAGAATGAAGGCAAACCAGCCTACAGGTTGGCTACGTGACTTGTAAAAGAAGTCCTTTTGCAGAAGGAGAGGGCAAAACAACAGCCTGAAGGGGCCTGAAAGGCACAGAAGGCTAAAGAAAGTGAGAAAGAAGCTCACAAATCTGCACAAAGCAGTCATTTAATCAGTGAAGGAAAAATAACCAGAGCTCAATCACACTTGTTCAAAGGCACACACAACTATGGGAACTGTGGCTGAGTCACATCTGGACTTGGACATGGTCACGTCCATTCTAACGGGTTCTGAGTATCAGGACAGTCTCGGTGGAGATTGTGCCCTGCACCTACCAGTGGTCTGTTAAAGGGATAAAGACTGAGAGGTAGAATGATTGAATTATTACCACATGTTAAGTGAAATATTTTGAAGACAAAATATATCTGTGCTATGGTTAAAACTTTATAAAATTACATATGTAAAAATTTGAGGGAGGAAAACTGCGCATGGGTAATTTTTTAAAATCACATTAATGTTTCACTGTTGTTCATCCAACCACTTAAAATATTATGTCATGTAGTTGAAGAATGACTAGAAAGAGCAAAAGTCCTTCAACTTCGTTCTTATTTCTCAAATTGTTTTTGGCTCTTCTGGGTTTCTTGTATTTCCATATGGATTTTAGGATCAGCTTGCCGATTATTACAAAAAAGGCAGCTGGGATTTTGATGGAGATCATGTTGAATCTATACATCACTTTGGGAAGTATTGCCATATTAAGTCTTCCAACCCATGAGCACAGATATCTTTTCACTTACTTAGGTCTTCTTTTAAATTATTTTCAATAATGTTTTGTAGTTTTCAATGTACAAATCTTGCACTTTTTTGGTTAACTTTATTTCCAAGTATATTATTCTATTTGAACCTATAATAAATGGAACTTTCTTAGCTTCATTCCTAAATTTTCACTATTATTGTCTAGAGGTAAAGCTGATTTTTGTATATTGATCCTGTATCTTACAATTTTTCTGAACTCACTTATTAGCTCTTTAGTTTTGTGTGTGTGGAGTCCTTAAGATTCTCTATACACAACAGTATGTCCTTGTTCTATACAGGTATAGCTTACAGAAAATATTAGATACCAAAATAGCATCTGTATCCATGTTACAATAATCAGTTACGCATGTTTAGTAGGGAAACACTGGTGGGAATTTAAAACACCCCATTAAATTGATGTATTCATATCAGCAAAGACAGTTATTGATATCTAAGATGATCTAGTTGTGAAGCTTAAGAAAGCAGCAGGTAAAAACTTTAGCTAGTTTCCAGGTTAGTTATACACGTCTTACTTAATAGTCAGTTTCACAGGCTCAGGTGACCCATTGACATTGACCAGGAACTCTTCTTTGAAGTGCCCCAGGATGGCAGAACTGAAGGAAATCTGGATAGCCTGGACTCCGCTTGGTTTGATGATGCCTTCCTTGGGACTGAAAACAAAGCAGGCCCCCAAAGCCGAAGTTGGAGGGACCACATTGAAGAGGGCATCGATGCTGCCTTTGTTGGATAGGATTGCCTACATCGACAGAAAGGCAAGAATGAAAAGGCAGACAATGGGCCTCTGATTCATTTTCATATAAGCATGTGGCTCTAACATTTAATACCAACACAGAGACACTGGCCGGAATTGGAACCAAAGGAAAACTCCAGGGGAGAAATAAACAGTCTCCTTTCTTGAATGTTTGAAGACAGGAGTCCCGAGTCAGAAAGCAATTTTGTGTTTTTGTTGCATCTTTAAATTGGAGTTAGTCCTATGTATTATGCTCATGCTATAAAGACTGGTCATAATCACATCTACTAAAGAGGAGTCTCCTGTGTGTGAGGAGGCCAAGATTAACTGGCAAACTGAAAAACAAAAAGCAAGTCAGAAGAGAGGAGCTAGAACTACCTAAGCCTATGTTTATAACGTAGCTTGATAAATATAAATATGACTTCATTGTGGATTCTAGATTGCAAAGATTCTTTCCTGTGGTATTAGATTTCATCCTATTGGGATGATTTTCATCTCAGACTCTATTAGGTATGCTTATGCAATCAATCATTTTACTCTAGAAACATTTTATTTCTATATACCAGTGTTCTGGAACCATGCCATTGCCCATACTTGATTGCACACTAGGTATGTGTAAAAAGCTCACGCTCGGCAATCAGGGTCCTCCACAGCTGGCTCAGCCTGCAACTCCCACTCCCACCTGCCACAGTTCCTGCCCATGAAGCTGTACGACAGCCACACAGTTCTATTCCTGAGCTTCCAAGACACAGTCTCTTGCTTGCCAATGCTTACACCTGAACATGTGAACAACACATTCTCTCTATTTATGTAGGAACTGCCCTCAACCTACACGGAAGGCATTAGAGGAAAAAGAGCACAGGGGAGCATGAATAAACATTCAGAAAGGTGTGTGGAACCTACATTCCATGTCAGGAACCCAGAAGCCAAGGGAGGAGAATTCCCAGAAGGGGCTGAAATGTGGGCAGAGGTTATTGTCTGTTACATACTTTTTATTTTTTATTAGAGGTCATCCCTGCCCTTGAGGAAGAGAGGAATCCAATGGAATGTGTTTGTAGAACCCAGAGTACAAACGTTTGGGAAGTGAGTAGGTGCAGAGGAAATAGTGGTTGACTATTCTCGGTTCTGTTTTGCGAAGATTAGTGGTGGAAAGTGAGAATGGGGGTAGCAACGCTGTGGGAAGGTACGCTAGAGGAGGCCTAGTAGATTTATATTAAATGAGATCATGCATACTCAGTGCCTGGCCTACATGTTTGTTGTTGTAATAGAAGAATGCTGGGTAACCAAGGGAATGGGGTCTGGTGGATGTGGGGGTCCACCAGCTCAGGCTGCCTCGGGGAGAAGCAGAGAAGGAATTCAGAGCTGTAGGACAGAGTAAGGGGCTCTTGCAGAGGAAGAACCACTCTGCCAAGAGAAGATAGACAAAGCACCAAAATAGACATGCAGCTAGTTGCTACTTGACATTTTATTCATCTTTTTTATTTCCCATTTCCCTCTCTCTCTGTTTTAAGTTCCCTGGCCATAGGAATCATCCTTGGCTTCACCCTTCATTCCTTTCAAAGAGACCATACAGAAAAGTGATTATGACCAGGGACTCAGAAGCAAAATCCCTGGGTTCAGATCTCAGCTTTGCCACTGATTTAGTAGCTGTGTGACCTTGGAAAACGTGCTCTGCTTCTCTGTGCCCCAGTTTCCCCATCTCCAAAATGTAAGCACTACTGACTTCTCAGATTGCTGTGAAGATGAAATGTATTCATTTATGTAACTTTTAGAATAGCGCCTGGCAAAGAATGCTTAAATGACAGTGACTGCTATGTATAGCCCCAGTACTAAACAGAATGGGTTTAAAATTTACCTGTGCTTAAGAAGAAACTGACATGCCCTAGTGGAAACTCAAAGGCAAGGCAAACGTGTTGGTGGTAACTTGAAGGGCCCTTGCTCTTCTCTCTGAGAAGATGCACAGATTGTCTTTTTATTTTTTGGTTAACACCAGTGTTTTACCCAGACTTTCTAATAAGGTGGCAGCTCCTCTGTTTTCAAGAATGTGCATGTCTTTCTCCTCCCCGACTAAGCAGAACCTACTGTGTGCACAGCATCCACTGAGACCTTTTGATTACCAGTATACCCTTACCCATGCAGTCCAACTCCTCGGAGAGAGAACATTTATAGGAGAACTTCCCCTCTCATTTGTTTTCCTTCTGATCACACGGGGGAAGAGTGTGTACTCATGGGGTTCTGGCTTATTCTTTATAGATCTGCTAAGCTCAGCAGTGACTAAGGGCAATAGGTAGTTATTCAAATTTGTCTCAAGGAGGTAACGTAATGAAAGAGAGATGCAATGAGGCATCAGCATTAAATATGCAGAGAGTGCAAAATATTCTCATGAGAAGCACCTTACCATGCCCTTCTCTGCCAGCGCACAGCTCTCAGAACTGTCCAATCACACATCGCACCTCGTTTAACACTTATTTACCTGGCTGTGGTTTGCTTTACTGTTCAAATCTGTGAGGGTGAGAAGTGGTGGCCTAATGTACACTTGTGCTAAATCTGCAAGAAATTGTTATTACCTTCAGGGAAACCCTATGCATTTTGCATCAGAACTAAAGGCTCTTTTCTGATGTGGTATCCGCAAGACACAGTCTGTAAGATGTGAGGGAAATTCACACTGTATAAATTACAGACAGAATATCAATTTAGTAAGAACTATGGCACCTTTTTATTTTCATCCCTAAGTGACTGTGTTTTCAAAATGCAATACAGGGCAATACAACACAGTAGCCCTGCCACTTTTCATTTTATGAGTCATATGCCTGATTGCTTTATTTAAATTGAGCTCTTATATATATTCCATCTCATCATGACAGGAACATCTCTGTTTACCTTGCACACCATCCCATTTAGGCAGTAGTTACTCTAGTGAGTGTGGGGATGAATGACACTGTAGAAAGCTCTCAACAGCAGCCGAGCATTTCCCTCCTGGGCGAGGTTAGGCTGGGCTGACGGCTGAGTGGACTGTAGGCTGGATTTGCATATGGTAAGAGTGTAGGTTGAAAAACCAGAAGGCTTTCTCTTCCCACAGGATATAGGGCCCTAAACCCCATTGCTCACTAACATTTACAAGCTGTGTGACCTTGCCAGTTAACAAATGTGGCAGAGTCAGGTTTGCTGTCCCTTCTTCCTGTGCTTACAGCTAGACTACATTTCCCAGCCACCCTTGCAGTTATGGACAGCTAATGGGACTTGAACTAAAGTGATACGTGCCACCTCCAGTGCTACCTCCTAGAAAAATCTCTTGAGTGAAACCCTCTATGCAATTTGCGATACATATGAGACTGCAGAGCCATAAGAGGGAGGGAGCCTGGGTTCTCATTCTCTGCTGGAGGAGAGCCATCCGCTGATTAGTAACTTTGGGACGATATATAAGCAACAAAATAGGCCTTTATCTATTTTGAGAGAATATATATTTTTGCATTTATTTGTCACAGTATCTAACATTAATTACCTTAACAGTAAAACTTCTCTGAGCTTCAGGTTCCTCATTTATAAAATGGGTATAGTCATTGTAGCTGCTCCCTAGGGGTTTTGTGAGGATTAAATGAACTAATAATACATGTTTACTCAACATGCATGAAGGGTGATGTAAACAGACTTAACTACTATCTGACTATTTCTTCTTTGTAAAATAGGTGCAATAAAACCTGCCTTTCACGGTTTTGTAAGGATTAGAAACGATATACACTGACATGCACACATAATAACGCATGGAACCTGACAAACTAATTGAACCTCAAGCACTCATTAAATAATAACTGCTTTTATTATTACCTCTATAGAAATATAAACATTTACAATTTGGATTCTTTCTGGAGTTTCAATGGTTATAGTTTGATACTGTAAAAAAGTGTCCTAGATGCAAATTTATGACACGTGGCACTGAAGTAACTTTGGTCCTTAGAAACCCATGAGTACATCTTTTAAAAAGTATCATTTTCTATATAATTGGAAAGACAAAGCAGGGATGTGTCTTCCAAGAACACAATGATTGGTTTTTCAATCATGGACTGGAGACTAGTGCATTTAGGGAAAAATTCTGAGGTGTGAAAACAGCTATCCTCATTAGGATATTCTGGAAACTGTAGAAGGCTTTCTCTGTCCTCTGATCTGCAGGATTTATGTTGTCAGAGAACAAGCATGAAACAGATGGGAGATGTATTTATGGAGTTCCCCTTTATAGTCTACAAAATGATGACGATAAAACCAATGCAGTTATGGCTTTGATGTTTTTAGGAAAGTTAGTGGGGGCTGCAGAGGATGGTAAAAGTTGCTCCACTCAGTAAGGCTGGGAAAGGGGAGAAAGTCAGATCGCTTTGGAGTCTGAATAAGTATGAGCAATGGCAAACGGATGTGACTGCGTACATTTCCTATCACTAAAAACACAAACAAAGCAAAACAAGCCGGGTACTGTCTGACTCTCAATGAACAATTCTAGTGTTTACCTCATAACAATGAACAGATCCAACAAAAACTTTTCCAATATCCAGCAACTCAAAGTTGAAGTGAATCTTTGGTCCCATTCCTTCCCCTTTGATTCGGAGGGGCAGACGGATCTCTCGGCCTATAGAAACAATTCAAACTTTATTACCCAAACGATGCTCTATCATCCACAACCGTTACCAATGTAAGCACTCAAGATTATTGCACCAACTCCCTATGCTGGACTGGGGAACTGCAATTTAACTAAGTCTGAAGTAACTTTAATTATTTTTAAGAAACATGAATACTGTTAGTTTCTTAACTTTAGGGACCAGCTTATATTGCAGTTTAGGCTGACATTTTAGCAGGAAAAAAATATTAAAATTTAACCCAGTCTTAGCTATATCCTTAAGTTTCTTTCCTTTTCTTTTTTTGCTGCCTTTCTTTTTTAATCCTCACCCGAGGATATATTTTTATTGATTTTTTTTAAAGAGAGAGGAAGGGAGAGGGAGAGAGAAACATTGATCAGTTGCCTCTGTATGCATCCCAAGCGGGGACGAACCTGCAATCTTACCTGACCCTTACTTTGTAGTTTCTTTCACGAAGAGGTAATGGAATCCACTAAACAGTATCCCTTATTACACATCCACAATGGACTCAGGGTCAATACAGAGCACAAATCTTTAAAGTACTGACTGGTTTTGTTTTCTTTTAAAAAAATGTCCACTTGATAATACATGATCATTATAAAAATGTTAAGAGAAAGTGGAAACTCTCATAATTCTACCATCCAGAGATAACTATTGTCAGTATTTTGGTGCTGATCCTTCCATACTTAATCATATTTAAATTCTGTTAATGTAAACAAGAGTATATGCTATATATTATTTCGTAACCTGCTTTTTTCACTTACAATAAATCTGGAACATTTTTAATACATCATCACCTAAAGGAGAGGTAAATATATTTAACTAGTCCCTTTTGATGTAATTAAGTGGTTTCTAACTTTTCACTATAACAAATTATAATGTAATTAATATCCTTGAACATATTTATGGACAATTTTCCTGTATTCTTTTTAAGTACTTTGATGATATTCTATTGCTTCTTGTCTTCCACCATTTCTGTTGAGAAGTCAGGGTAGAGTCTTACTGCTCATTTGAGTTAGTATGTCTTCCTCTGACTGCTTTAAGATTTTCTTATTGTCTTTGGTTTTCAGCAGTTACTATAATGTTCCCAGGTGCGGTTTGAATTTATCCTTCTTGGAATTTGTGGTACTTTTTGACTCTGTGAATGAATGCCTTCAACCAGTTTTTGGAAATTTTTTAGTCATTATCTCTTCAAATAATGCTCATACTCTATTTTCTCATCTTTCCTTCTCTATAGATATGATATTTATCATATATATGATTATCATATATATTTATAACATAGTATATAATGGAAATATATATAATCTTTTTGTTACATTCCACTTCTCTTATGCTCTTTTCTGTACTTTGTCTCTACATGCTTAGTGTGAATATTTTCTTTTATTTAATTTCCAGTTTACAAAATCTATCTCTGTCTGCACCTAATAGGCTACTAAATTCATCTACTGAGTTCTTAATTTGTCATAATAACTTTTTAGTTCTAGACTTTTGTTTAGATTTTTTGTAGTTTCCAGGCCTCTGCTCAATCTTGCCTTTACTAAGAATATTTTAAAAAACTGTGTCTGATAATTCTATTATCTGGATCCCTTTAGGTTTGTTTCTATTGTTTATCTTAACATTCTGTCAGATTGTGTTACCTTCTTATATGCATTGTTATTTTGGTTGAGTCTGATCAGTGTATGCAAAAAGCTATAGAAGTAATTTGAAGTCCTAAAATGTTATTTTCTCCAGCTTCCGGCTGGACTAGAGGGCATTAGCAATCCCAGAAGACCTAGTCTAACTACTCATAGCTTAGTCTCTGAGAGAATTAAGCCTTGTAGCAAATTATTTGAATGACTATTTTCTCTATTCTCCCAAGAAGGGATTGTAGCTAGTACTAGCCTAGATATAAAAGAGAAGTTACACGTACAATAGATGCCTTCCAACATTAGGGATTAATCATCTCTTGGAACCTCAGTGGAGAAAAGCTGTTGTAATCAAGTTGATACTGATTCAAAGCTGAGTCATTGTGAGGGCTAGTACGTTTCCAGGTGCTGCTTCACTGGGTCCCACCCTCAAGCCTGGGGGATTACTAGGGCCCTTTCTCCTTGGGCATCCCATTAACTCCTATGTTTTCTTCCCTAAATCAACTTAACTTTTCAGCTTCTCTGTAGTATCTACCAAAAAGTCAGTGTCGCTAAGAATAAAGAGTCACTGTCCCCTTCCCCCCAAAGTCTAATAGTCTTGGCTTCTTTCTTCTCCTGGATGTTGGTCCCATAATTCTTTACTGTTTAGTAGCTCTGTTTTACCTTTAAAACAGGCTTTCGAAATACTTGCCTTGTTCTTCTAGCTGTTCCTAGAGAGAGAGTTGATCCAAATTACCGAGCCCACCATTACTGGAAACAGAATTGCCAGGATAAAAGATGCACATTTGACATTCTGACAGGTATGGGCATACTGCCCTCCAGAATGGCTGTACCAATGTACACACTAACAACAACAGTATTTAATGGTTCCTGTCTCTCCATGTCCTCCCTGATAGTGGGCATATCACCACTTTAAAAAATCTTTGATAGTTTGACAGGTTTTCCTTAAATTTGCACCACTTAAATTTCAGTTATTTAAGGAAAATTAAATATTTGCTTTGTGTGTCATGTTTTGAACATTCAAGATACTTTGATGTTCTTTTAGATGTAATTTTCAGTATTATAGCAATACACTTTGAACAACCAAATGGTATTTCTAATTTATTATCATCATTATAATGCCCTGTGACATTTTATGTTCCATTGCCTTCTGTTGCTATTTAGCATCTGTATCTTTAATGCTTTCTCTCCATAACTGTCCTTTTAAAGATGGGAATACTTATCTCTGTGTCCCTTTAGTATTTGGCAACACAGTGGTCATTAGGCAGTATTAGTTTGATTTTAAGAAACAAAAGCAATCCTAGAAATATCTGGAACAGCTAATTTCTTCAAAGAGTTCCCTAACCCATCTGATCCCTGGAAAAGAGGTTTCTCTAAAGACCAGGTATTAGTGTTGGCAATACTCTAGAATATAAGTAAAATTTTCAGAGAGCCTAAATCTTGCTACCCTACTCCATTATTTTAGTGTTTGAATCTATTTGCAATGATTTGTACTCCTTTGTCAAAAGAAAAGTGTTTTGACAGAGATCCAACTTTTGGAATAGCAAAGAAAGGGAATTGCAAATATATTGTGGAATAAACTGCAAAACTATTTATAACTGTCAGGCTTAAAGCTTTCCCCATCTGTTACCTTGACTGCCTTCCTTAATACACAAATTTAAAAAAAGGAGATGTATTGTAATAAAGCAGTAAGCCAATGTTTCTTTGGGAGTTATTAATTACTTCAAAGGAATTTGTATTATTTGTAGCTAGCCATTTCCCCTCACCCAGAATGGAATGGGAGTACAAGTAATACCCCAGCATTGCATTTACAAGAGTTAGCCTAAATTTTAGGGTTACCTTTCAAATGCTACTTTTCTGTAAGATTTCTGAAGCAGGGGTTTTTCTTGTCTTGGCAAAAAGCAGCAAGAGGGACAAGCCTGAAGGAACTAGTAAGCTAAAAGGACAAATTCCTTATTAGAAGAGCAAAATATTAAAATGTTTTAAAAATAGGGCAGTTTCTCACCTATGATTATATTACCTTGTTTTCACACATAAGAAGCAGAGAAATGTACTATTGAACCCCTTTAACAGCCCTGAAATCCCTGAATACACTAGATTAGCTGCATTAAATACCAGCAAATGTAACCAAGGGCTTTAAAAAACTTACAATCTAAGATATCTTAGATGCCCAATATTATATTTGAGCTCTAATCCTGTGCAATAAGACAAGAAAAAAAGGGGGGTATACTTACGATCTTCAATAAGCAAAATGTAAAACTTTATTGAAAGATATTATCAAAGATCTAAATAAGTGGAGAACTAGACTAAGTTCTTGAAAAGGAAGACTCAACACCATAAAGTTGTCAATTTTCCTCCAATTGATCTATATCTACAATTTTAATGCTTTAATAAACAAAATGGCAGCAGGTAGAATTTGGTGAAATTTGGTGGGTTGATTATAAAATTTAAATGTGAAACAAAGGGCCAATAATAACCAAGACATTCTTAAAGAAGAATAAATTGAAGGGACTTGGCCTTTCATAAATTAAAATCTATTATAAAGCTAATATAATTAAGATAATGTGGTATTGGGGCAGAAAATGCAAAAATGACAAAGGAAATAGTACAGCTTTGTTTCTATCTGGGAATGAGGAGTTGAACTTAGATCCTCACATGAATCTAGGGCCTTGAAAAGAATACCTCTTTCCAAAAAGGAAACTAGAAAGATTCTACCTATTGTTTTAGGGAAGCAGTGATGAAGTTTGTCCTCTACCTGTCATTCTGAATAGTGGGAAAAGGCTCTTATGAGAAATCAAAGTTCTATGTACAGGTATAGGGTCCAAATTTACACTATAGTATAGGTGAAAGAATCAGAAGCTGAGAAAATAAATTATAGGGTCCTTGGCAAAAGAAACAAAAAAATTGCTCTGAAGGAATCCTTCCTTTCATGATCCAGGACCCATGCTGTCTTAGACTGTTTGGGCTGCAATAACAAAAATACCATAGACTGAATGGCTTAAACAACAAACAATTATTTCTCACAGCTCTGGAGGCTGGGAAATCCAAGATCAAGGCACTGGCATATTCAGTGTCTGGTGAGAGCTCACTTCCTATCTCATAGACGCTGCCTTCTCACTGTGTCCTCACAAAGAAGAAGGGGTGAGGTCCTATTTGTAAGGACAGAATCCCATTAATGAGGGCCCCACCCTCATAACCTGATCACCTCCAAAGGTCCCACCTCCAAATACTATCACACTGAGGATTAGGTTTCAACACATAAATTTGGGGGAGGGTGGGACATGGACATTCAGTCCATAGCAGATAATAAAGATGAGCTCACAATATAAACATTTCAAACCATCTGAAGACAGAAGCCAGTATGAGGAAAGTCAGTGGTTACCACAAATATGCAAATAATTACCCCAAGGGTTTGAGATAATAGAAAACTCTTAAAGAAAATCTAACATAGCATTCTTAAAATCTTCAAAGCCATAAATAAAGAAATAGAAACCACAATAAAGGGAAAAAATGAAAATGTTAAAACTATAAAGAACTTCTAAAACTAAAAAACCAAGATGATGAAATTAAAAACTGAATAGATGAATACACCGAAGAGTAGACATAGCTACAGAAAGAATTAGCTAACTGGAAGAAATATCTTAGAATAGTGCCCAGAATGTATCATAGAAAGACAAAGAAATCAGAAATATAAAAGGGAGGTTAAAAGATATGGCGATTCCATGGGGAAAACATATATCTAAAAGAATTTCCAGAAGGAGAAAATTGAGATAGTGAGATGAAAACAACATTGAAAACATAATTGTTGAGAATATTCCAGAATCACTGAAATGTTCTTAGATTGAATAAGCACATCAAGTACTAAGAAGGATAAATAAAGGCAAATTCATCACAATGAAACTGTAGAACACCAAACAAAGTAATTATAAATATCAATCTGATAGAAAAGACAGATAACCCAAAGAAATGACAATTAGACTGCAGTAGATTTCTCATATCAACAACTCAGCCCATAGTCCATGCTATGAGGAAGCAAGCAGCCATGGATAGGGGTTGCAGCAAACAGAACCTAGTGAGATCCCTGCCAACAGCCAGGATTGACTGCCAGACACATAAGATGGATGAGCTATAAAATGATATCAGCCTCCACCAGGATCAACTGCCAGACATGTAAGATGGATGAGCTATAAAATGTTATCAGCCTCCACCTATAAGACAACAAGCTTTTCCAGTTGTCTCCGTGTGGAGCAAAGAGGAACTGTCCTTGCTGAATCCTGGCCAAATTTCAGATCTGGGAACAAAATAAATGATTGCTAGTTGTTTTAAGCCACTAAATTTAGTGGAGTGTGTTATACAGCAAAAGATAAATGAAACAAAGTGGCTTAAACAAATATGGGCTTTTATTTTGCTCACATATCAAGGACTTTGGGAAATGTGGATCTTACAGAGGGGAGGGTTTAGGAGATTAGGGCATGTTGATTGTTGTTGTTGCTGGTAAGGATGAAAAGAAGGTCTGGGGGGTAGTGGGTCAATGGGGGGAAAGGAGCATATGTAATACTTTCAACAATAAAGTTAAATTTAAAAAAAGATGAATGAATGCTGATTGGATAGCTACTTTCTTTTCATGTTCCAGAACCATACAATTATACTTGTTATAGCTTTCTGTGTGTGTTGTTTTTTTTTTCTTTTTGTTATAGTTTTTAAAATAACTTTTAACAGATGGTGGAGCTAGTGCTCCCACATTATTCTTTTTTTTAAAATTTATCTTTATTGTTGAAAGTACGACAGATGTCCCCTTTTTCCCCCATTGATCCCCTCCACCTGGCATCTGCCCCCCCCCCAGGCCTTATCCACACTTTTGTCTTTGTCCATGGGTTATGCATATATGCATATAAGTTCTTTGATTAATCTCTCTCCACCCACTGCCCCACCCCACCTTCCCTCTGAAATTCTTCAGTCTGCTCTATGCTTCTGTGTCTCTGGATCTATTTTGTTCATCAGTTTTTTTGTTCATTAGATTCCACATATGAGTGAGATCATGTGGTACTTGTCTTTCTCTGACTGGCTTAGTCTGCTTAGCATAATACTCTCCAGTTCCCTCCATACTCTCCCAAAGAGTACGAGATCCTTCTTTTTTACAGCTGCATAGTATTCCATGGTGTAAATGTCCACAGTTTTTTTTATCCACTCATCTCCTGTCACATTATTCTTGTTTTTCTGAATTTTCTAGGCAGCCCTAGAAAATTTCCTCCATAGTTTATTTCCTCCATAAGAACTTTGGAATCAACCTAATTTAAAAAATAACACGTATTGATATTATCACTGGAATCATATTCATTTATAGGAAGAATTGACCTAGTTATGATGTTGATCATCCAGACCAAAATCATGGGCATACATTTCCATTTGTTCAAGTTTTCTTAAATCTGGGTTCTATATACATAGATATTTGTATATTATTCTCTGTATTTTTCTTATGTTTGAAATATTTAATAATTGAAAATATAATTTAAACAGTAGTTGATCAAGAAAATAATTTCCTATTCATAGAACTAAGAAACCTTACCTTATTATGAGGTTGCAGTTTGATGAGTTTTGAGAAAGAAAAGCTGCATATAAGTAAAGTATTACTCACTTATTACTCTGAAAATCTAAATCTCCATTCTTTAGTTTAATTAGGATAATCAAAAGTGCTAAAATTGTGCTAAAAACTTAGATGTTTCTCTCTTATAATGTACAGAACAAAAATGGATAATGGAGTTTCATCTTATTGGGTCTTTAGGGAAGCAGGTACATCTGGAGTCATTTCCACCAGGCTGCTTTTCTGCACTGCACTCTGAAGCACCCATTAATGATGTTATCAGGCAATGCATTTCACAGTTTAAATCAGAAAGTGTTGCTTCCTTTGAAGCTCCCATATGGTGATCCAAACCAAATATATGCTGTTCCCCTTTGAGTTTTTTAAAAGGTAATCTTCATGATTAAGTTCAGAATTTCCACATTCCATTGGAATATCAAGACAGATAAAAGATCAGTTTCAAGACCTAGATCAAACCATCTGCAAGTCTTTATAAATATCTGACATGCAGGTTTAACTACTTCTAAGAAAACCTGGGATCTTTACATGAAAAAATTTCAGTTTCAGATTAACAGAAAAGGTTTTAATGATGTTCTATTTGCATAATCAGATCTTAGGAGGTCACTCCGCTGCTTTACAGCCCTTCAGTGATTCCCCACCGCACTCAGGATGTTCAAGGTTCTTAGTCTGGCTGACAAGAGCAGCCTTCCATGAACCAGATCCAACCGACTACTCCAGCCTCCAACTTCAATTCTTGCCCCCACCACTCCCTTCCCAAGTCTCTCTGTCTCTCTCTGTCTCTGTCTTTCTCTCTGGTAGCCACACCCTAAGAACTTGTGACTCTTTGCCATTTCATGCTCTTGTTATGCATTTTCAAAGTGTTTCTCTATGTATTTTCACAAACTATATCCTTGCCTGACATGCCCAGCCACAACTCCCCTTTTTTTACTTGACTAACAAACACTTCAAGGCTCACTTTCTCTGGGGAGCCTTCCTTGAAAACCCTAAGTCTGAGCTGTGTGTCCTATACTGTCCTCTTTCATCGTTCACTCACTTCAAGCACTGCAATGGAGCTACTGGTTTGTGTGTCCCTTCCCCTGCTCATTGCTATGTTATCTGAGGGTATGAACTATGCTTTCGTGCATCTTTGTACTCATTGAGCCTCAATATAAAAGCTTTTGAAAGAAAGAAGGTTGTAGTTGGGATTATGGGTTAACTTTCATGCATCCCAAGAGGCCTCCCTCAAGACCAGTGATACTGGCCTTCCCTGCTCCTTCCTGTCTCTGAGCATGCATTTGCCTAATGGCACATTATACAATTTCCTGGCGTCATCAGGTGGCCACCCTACTTGTACACCCTCCTTGTGGCTCTGGCCACTGCCCATCCCATCCCACCTGACATACATTATTTTATAAAAACTTAAAAAGAAAAAAATTATAAAAAATAACAAAAAATAACAAAAATAACAAAAAATAATTTGTGAGGCTGTCTCAAGGAAAGTTCTTACTGCTCTAAAACTCAAGGGGAAACTCAGGTCCATGGTTTCCCACCCCACCCCACCACACCAGAATTGTAGTATACTTTCAAAGTTTGATCTGTTCTAGAAAGAAGTAAGTACATAGTTTAACTCTATTTTTCCTCTATTGATACCAAGCACTGCCCATAGCCTAAACACACACACACACACACACACACACACACACACACACTCTCCACACCATGCTCTGTGCGCTTCATAACCCAGCTTTACCGCACAGAGGAAGTCTTCACCTGAAATGTCACAGTACACAGTCATTTGGTAGAGTTTTGCTTCCAGAGGGTTAAAGTACACAGTGATTTCAGCTGATGAGTTGGGCCAGACATCACCTTCCTGAAAAATAGGAAAGAATCATTAAAAGACAATATGATGGAGGGAAGATACTGCTTTCAAATGTTATTATGTTAAAACTCCAGGAAACTGGAAGGAAATATTTTTACAATAGATAAAATAAAGCAATATTTTACCCAACAGAGAGTTCATTTAGGCTACTGGTTAAGGGGTGGTACAAGTTGGAAACAAGCTTCAAAAATAATTTCAGTGAGTTCATGAATATATACTAAGTTTATATAACTAGTAGTTATATTAGTTTATAACTAGGATATTTAGGAAATTTAAAAAATGTGTGTATTCAATGAACATTCATTGTATGCCCATGTGTGCCCAGCACAGGGTTGAAAGATGAAGAAGTGTGTGGTCCAAGACTGCACGGAGCTCACATGTTTGACAGATGATAAATATGTATACAAATATTTTATAATAAACATGTTAAGTGCTGTGCCTATATAAACTGGGTTCAGATGGGCCACAGAGAAAGAAGTCCCTAACTCACTTGATGGAGGGACCACATTCCTAACTTTTGAGGTAACAACTCTTTTGAGGAAATACTCTTATTCTGTGAAAACATAGCAATGGCTCAAGATACAACAATGGCCAGATTAAACCCTGGTTCTGATCTAGTGTGACAGTTCTCATTTTAATTCAAACCACTCAAAGTCATAATAAGGAAACCAAGCTTTGAGAATTGTAATGCACACACCATATATCAGAATTCCCTCAAGGTATTCTTTGAAAAATATTTTGTACTAAGCATGCAACCTGGGCCTCTTCATGAACTTCTTAGGGCTGAAAAGTGGATGTTAATATCACCTGCCTCAAATAGTTTCCTAAAGTCTGACGAGGTCAGAGAGGTCAAATGCTTTCCCCCATGCTCAGTACATAGTAAGAGCTCAGTGAATAGGTGCTTAGTAAGATTGATGTTATTTTTATGCCACTTGGAAAGACTAAGATGAAAGTACTGGAAAAATTAAGGGAGAAAACTGTGTGTGTTTTCTATGGTTTTTGGAAAGAGAGCCAAGCAGGACATATGTGATAAACACATCCCAAAATCTATTTAGGTGGTGGAGCCTAAAAAGGAAAGGAAAGCTAAGGAAGGACAACATGATAAATAATTCACCTGCAGTTTCAGACAGTCCCCAGTGCATATTCCATTTCCAGTCTGGCTAGAAATGGATGTAGTGCTGGGATCAAGAATGAAGCAGAACACAGTGTCTAAAGAGCAGACATCCAATGGGGGTGGGGTGGGGGGTGGTGACAGAAAGCCAGAGTCAATTTGGGTTGATTTATGAAGGTAACAGTCTGATCAATGTGCTTCTCAGGCAGTGTCCCCCTGACTTCACAAGGATAAAAGGGCACAGAGCCTCCAAAAAGTAGCAGTGAGGGCTATGAGTGTCACATGTGTCCTGGGAGCTCTCATCTCCCACAACAGGTCGCTAGAATGAAGGCTCCATGAGGGCAGACACTGCTTTACCCCCAGGCCCTAAACCAGAGGTGGCTCTTACACATGTTCAACGTATTTATCGAATCAGTCATATCCATTCAGTTTGCATATTGTGCAGTTATTAGCAGATGCCTATTCCTCTTTGCAGCCTATTTCTGCCATTTTCTCCTCAACTGGAAGCACAAAAGTCTTACAGTTTAGAGCCGGCAGGGACCTTTGAGGTCATGCAGGGACTAGGAAATCCCTCAGCACTTTCACTTATTTAGGCATTTCGCGGTGGCATTTTCCCAAACATTGATAAATGGCAAATACCTGGCCCCTTTGATTACTGGAATCAGTGATATGAAGTGTTAGGAACACTCATGCATAGAATGGACAGACAGCCCGGGCAGAAGAGGTTGCACATCCATTCCATCGTAAGGAAAACCCGAAGACCTGGTTTTCCTCCTAACCCATGAGATAGATGTAGTGCCTGGTGGGTTGAGACTCTACTCTGTTTGGGAGTATAGACTGGACAGAGCTAAGCTGTTCTTATCCAAGCTTACTGATCCAAGGGGCCATCTTGGACCCCTAAAATATTGCTAGAAAAGTCTCATCAAAATGGTAGGAAATGAGCCCCAAAATGATACACTGGAAGTCAGATAAGCTTAATGCATGCAGGCAAATTCAAGGGCTTTATGATTTGGGCTGGGACAGATAACTTTCAAAAGCATTATTCCAGCAAGAGAATCCAGGGTCCATGTGAAGACAAGAAGGCAATACACTTAAGTTCTCTCCCAGTAGCATTCTTGGATACCCCATCATTAAAGATATCTGATTATCAGAATAGGTGGGCTGGAAACAGGCAGGACAGACATGCTCCAGAGAGGCAATCAGAATCCCCCCAGAGGAGGAAGTGTTGATGTCTGGATGTGATGGGTAAGAGGATCATCGGATGTGGAGGCTCCCTGGAGCCTGGGAAGCCCTTCTGCCTGGTGAGGGAATGCCAGTGCAGGGCAATACGAGCCCGCAGGGTTCAGGCTGAGCGGATGGGACTGTAGGCTCAGTGTTTTCCTTTCCTGGGTTGCAGCTGTTTTATTGTGCCTATGACATTTGCTAGTAACTTTCCGCTTTACTCAGCCCCGGGAGATAATTCAAGGACAATCCTATTCTAAAGTCCTCTCCTGGGCTTGTACTAATGTGCATTAAGAGGGCTGCGTGTATCTCTAAAAACAGAAGTGTGGTCATTCAGTTTCCTCTGGCAGAGGGATGCTTTCAATATTAGGTCATTTGAAGGAGTTAGAAACATGTACAAGGACTCTTATTTTTCAGCTGGGATCAAAATAAAAATTAAATAAACATCTATTTCTTTAGAGCAAAAACCCAGTGTAGCATTTTCTATAGCAAATCAGAGAGGACAAACCCCAGAAACACACAATCAGCCTACAATGACCCCACTTGCACTTATATATCTTTGAAACATGTCGTATTACTTCTCCAACACTTCTGAAATTAACTTCCATGTCATTTATGTCTCTAGAAATAATTTTTCTTTCTTTGTCACTCAGTTCTAAAGTTTCTTTCTGAAAATGAAAACATTCAGAATTTTCCCTACTGGCTCTGATATCAGTATCCTTCCTTTCCAGTCTATGAGACCATCCTCATCCCACAGAAGCCCCTGCTGTTCTACTTTCCTTCTACATAATCCCCCCTCCCCACCCATCACTGGCTCCAAATTAGAGATTGAGTACACAGGATATAATCAGTAAGTGACTATTATCTTGTTTACTGAAAATAACTGCCAAAATGGCCTTCAGTTATACTGTAATTATCTTCCTTCTTGGTCTTAATGTTCTGTTTTTCCCTCAGATTCATAACTGCATTTCGTGTATTAATCAGGTAAATGGCTCGAAGGAATCGCCTTTGAATTTTTAGGTCTAATGCTAACTCCTATAACGCAGTTTTAGGTCAAACACCGAATACCTCTGGAAGTGGAATTGCATGCTTCCTCTGGAATGAGAGCAAACAAGTGACTTGATGGACAAGTTCCAAGCCTTCCTGAAAGCTGGCTCATGACAGGTGATTAATACAATCATGAGAAGGGAGGTGGAAGAGAGTATAAAGGGATAAATGATGATGGGGAAAAAGAAAATTAAATTAAAATTTAAAAAAATGTTCTCCCTAAAAAATTATATTGGAAATGATTAAAGGGGCTCTTTTAAAATCTCCCTTGAAAATCCTTAAATTAAAAAAAAATACTTTAAAAATCACCTTCCTTCCCCCTTCTCTATTACCCATCTCCTTCCTTCCTTTCTTCCTTCCTTCCTTTTTTCCTTCCTTCCAGTGAAGGGTTATTTCTTACAAATTTTGCAAAATCAAAATCCAAACTGCAAGAACAGAGTTAAATATACATTTACGTTACTTGGTTTATCTGGAAAGTAGTTTACAATATGACTCAATACCTACATTTATCATATAAAATTGTTATTTTAATTCCCAACTTGCATTTAGAAGAGTGATCCAAACATTTGTCTACTCAAATGTTATACTTTCCAATCATATCTCTAATTTGACAAGAGACTGCATCATATCTATATGTGATACCATGTGCTCAGGTATCTTGGAAGGTGATTCACAGGAGGTCCTTTTGGATGACAGTCAGCAGCTCTTGAGAAATGCACTGGTAGACCTTTATCAAGCTATCCTGGTTGGGCCAGAGTTCAGTCAGCTCAGAACAGGGTCAGTGAATAATAACTTCAAGAGCAGCTAAAACGTGTAACGAATTCCATCACGTTGCAGCAAAATGGAAATATTCTTAACTATATAAATAAATATTTTCAGCTATCTCATTATATTTAAGGAAAATTTAAAGAATTTCTCTTGGGCAATAAAAACATCCTCTTAAAGTCAAATTTCTATCAATTAATCAGAAAAAAAGAAGTACTGATTAGAAGCTATAATATATTTCACTACCCACAGTTGATCTTCTAGAACTTACTGAATAAATGAGAGAAATCAAGGCTCTCTCTATCGTCAGGGCAAGTAGAAGTAGTCTCGAAGAGAAATTTTAAAAAATGAAAGCTAAAAAATTGAAGGTCAACTATCTGAATTATCATTGAGATAAAAGATCTAATTGGCATGTGACATGCAAGGAAATTTTTCTATTTCATATATCTCCTTGAACAAGAAACTAAATTTAGTAGAGCTTTGATTCTCAAAATAATGACCAGAAAAGTTTCTGAGAGAGGGGTCTAAGATTTGGTCATCTATCAGAGTTTCACAAAAGGTGTGTTTTATCTTGGGTGAAATACCCTAACCCATGTATGGTGAACATTGTAGTGGGGTTTTATAGAGCTGAGGTAGTTTTGTGTGATGTTCATGCTTTTCTCTGGAGAGAACAGACTTGTGTCTCTTCCAGCAATGACAGATGTCAACTTATTAAATGAGCTTTGAGGAACCAAGACTTCCTTAGGCCTCCCTAAGCCTGCGCTAGCTCTCCAACACAATAGTGGATGTCCCAGCACAATCGGAAAAGGTTTGGCCAAGCACAAAGAGCTGAGAGGCCACACAATAA